ACATCTGGGGTGCCCCCCACGGCACGCGGCACATGCGTGGTACCAGCCTCGGGCACGTGGCGCATGGGTGGCCCCTACTCCAGGCGCGCAGCACATGTGCAGTGCCGGCCCCAGGCGCGGGGTGCGTGGGTGGCTTCAGCCCCGGGCGCATGGTGCATGCCTGGCCCCGCCCCCAGAGCATGAGCAGCCCCGCCCCTGGATGCCTGGCAGCCACGAAAGGTTGGGGACCACTGAAATAAGCAATATTTTCAGGGATGAGCCTTATCAGTAACTAATGCTTTTTTCAGTGGGGCATAATGGCATCTTAATGAAATTTTCAAAACTGCTTTACCTTCTGAATTAACATCTCATGCTCTTATTAAAAGTGGCTTCAGACTCCAATAGCCACAAGTGATCTACACTTGAATTTCATAAATTCAATGAGCATGGTAAAAATAGCGCATTATAAGTTCAAACTTTAGTCATGAGCAAAACGGGTAATTTTATTGTGACTGCTGATATGTTGTGAAAGCACAAGAGACTGGAAATCGTTTATCCGAAATGTCAGAGGGCCACCTAGATAAGTGTGGCATGGCTGAAAAACAGGTGGATGATATGACTATCATTTCACTGTCAGGCACACTGCAAAATGCTACAACTCCTACTGCTTTATTCTAACATCTTGGTGACAGTAAATATGATTTGGCAGAGCGTCCAACAGAGAAGTTGCCTGAACTTTGGCCTTTTTGTGATACATGACAATTTAGAGAAACATTGTCTGAGCTAATCCACTGTGGAACAAGACTTTTTCCTGTTGTAAATCTGCTCTTCTGGCACAAACATCATTTTCAGATGATGCTGTTCTCAAGTAGAGGGATATTCTGTATTAAGTTACAAAATAACTAAGGAGTCTGTTTCTGTGTCTGGCAACTAAAATAAATCCATACATTTAAACCATACCAAGTGCTAGCAAACCTTCCAAAAAGGAGGAAGAGAGATCAGGAAGCCAGTATCTCGAAGGGGAATGCCATTAGCCAAGATAACATAAGATTTAGGTCCCATAGAAAGACCAAATGTGTAAGTAGAGGCCCTTAAGGCCCTTGAAGAACGTGGCAGTCATGGATGGAAACACAAAATAGCAGCCAAATGGACGTTAATGGATGACAGGCACAGGCCTTGTAGCTTAAGGTACAGAAGGTAGTCCAGGATTAACTACAGTGAGGCCCGCTTAGGTCAAATGCCTTTATTTAAGGATCAATACATAAACTATCTCTACTTTACCATACAGGTCACTCTAGTAGAGGAGCAGCCACCAACAGGCGTAGCAGCATGCTGAACGAGGGCTGTCACAGCCAAGCCAGTGCATGAGAATCACCTTTGATAACCTGTCCTGCTTGACCTTCATGAGGGCTCTGTGGATTAAGGGAACCTTGAGAAAGGTATACACAAGGGCCCTCAACCACAGGGGCAGAAAAGTAGCTGATGGAGAGCCTCTGTTGAACCCACAAAAGGAGCAGAGGACTTAGCATTTCCTTTTTGTTTCTGAACATAAACCGGTTCACTCGTGGAGTACCCCACCTGCAGAAGATGCTGACTACCTCCAGATGGAGGGACTGCTCATGGCAAGATGAGACGGTCCCGCTGAAAGATCTGTCAAAGCATTCCGGGCCCTGGGGAGGTATGCAGTTCAGAGATGCACGTTGTGTTGTGCACAGAAGTCCCATAGTCTGATGGCTTTCTGACAAAGAGCAGACAACCTGACTCCACCTTGCTTGGCGATATAGAACATAACCACTGTATTGTCCATCAGGACCTGGATCACTGTGTTCTTCAGGTGTGGTAGGAAGATATAGCAGCCCAAATGGACCACTCTGGGCTCCCTGACATTGATGTGTAGGGACCAATCGAAGTGTGAACAATGACTTTGCATGCTAAGAACACTTAAGTGGGCTTCCCACCCCAGGACTGAAGCATCGGAGATAAGGGTCACCTATGAGGACCCGCAAACAGCACTTCCTCAAGCACTGAAGCAAGGTTTTTCCACCATGCTAATGATGACTGACCATGGTCTGGGACCTTGGCTATGTGGTCCATGCTACGGGATATATACCAACACCAACCATGCCAACAGCGGCCTGAGGTGGAGCTGCATGTTCAGAGCCATGTAAGTGCAGGCTGCCATGTGGCCCCAAAGCTGCAGACACAGATGAGCGGTGGCAAGAGGGTGAGCTTGTACACATGAGATCAGGTCTGCCATGGTCCGGTACTGGGCCTTGGGGAGAAAAGCCCTGGCTTGGGTAGAGCTCTGTGTGCTGCACCGGGACTCAGGTTGACTTTGTTTAGTTTACCAATAGTCCAGGTCACAACAGAAAGAGCAAATCAGATTGAAATGACATTGTACTTGATCCTGGGATCAGCCTTTGATTAATCAGTTGTTGAAGGATTGGTAAATCTGCATGCCATTGTGCCTTAGGTAAGCAGCCACTAGTGCTATAACTTTGTAAAAACTCTTCAGTACTGATGGGAGGCCACAAGGGCAGTGCCATGAATTGAAAATGGCAGTGGTCCAACATATAGCAGATGGATCGCCTGTGCCCCGATAAAATAGAAATATGTATCTTTTAAGTCAGGGGCAGTGTACCTGTCTCCTGAATCTCCTTCTGTGAGAGCTTGATCGGGGGCCTTCCTGAATCCTAGAAGGGATAACAGAGGCTAGGGAGACAGTGCGGAACTTCATCTTCCTGTGGGACCCATTGAGACGTTGTGGCTCTAGAATGGGTCTGAGACATCCTTTCGCTTTTGGGATTAGAACACAATGGAAGTAGAATCCTTTCCCTCTCCTGCCTAGAGAGACCTCCTCCACCACTCCCAGGTACAGGAGATTCTCACTTCTTGTACTAGTAGTTGCTTATGGGAAGGGACCCTGATCAGAGAAGGAGAAGAAGGCTGGGAAGGAGGGTCAGCCGCAAACTGAAAGGTGAAGGCCAAAGAAATCATGTCAAGCACCCAATGGTCCAACATCATCTGTGACCAGACCAAATGGAAGGGGCATAAACAGTTGTAGGAAAAAAAGGGGGTGGGGGACCCAGAGTCGTGACTGGCATCCTTAGAGGCATCCTTCCTCAGAGGCATCCTTAAAACACCTGCTTCTGGACACCTAATCTCGAGAGGGGTCAGGCTGTGTGGAAGAGCAGGAAGACAAAAAGCTGCCAACGTGTAAACCCCATGTCTTTCTCTTTCCTTCTGTGAGAGCTTGATCGGGGGCCACACCACAACCTCGATAGAATTGGCTTTCTAGTCTACTGAGAGGTGGGCAAGCCCAACGACTGGAGGGCGATATTCAAGTCTCTAAAGTTGTGAAGATACGGATCAATCTGCTATGAGAAGAGTCCTGCCCCCTCAAACAGGAGATGCTGGAGGGTAATCTGCATCTTCTGGGACAGCCAGGAAGACTGTAACCAGGAACAGCACTTCATGACCACCACAGAGGTGACCATTCTGGCTGCAGTCTGTAGCATCCCGGGCCATCTAGAGGATGCCTCTTCACACTGATGAGGGTGAGTAGCTAAACTGGAAACTGCCTGTCCCTTCAACAACTGCCTTCAAATATAAGTGAGACAAGGAGGAGGGAAGGAAGTGATGGTGATAAATGACTGGTACTGGTTCTGGCCCAGGAATTTAGCCACAGGAGTTCAGCTATTACTACTCACCTGTTGGCCATAAGGATAGTATTGTCCTGGTTCCCTCAGAGTATATATATAAAAAGAAATGCTAACTCCTGACTCTGCATTAGTTAAATGTAGGGTTTAGTCATACAGCAAAAGAAAATAATCATTTTCCACAATAACAACTTTTAATGTAATTAGAGATCATTTGAAACAACACAGGAGTGTTGGATGCTTGAGGGGATTTGTATCCCAAGAGCAATGATTCAAATCTGCTCTAGGGTCAGCTGTAATTAAGACCTTGTCTGTGCTAGAGAAGCACCGCTGTAACTCTGTACTTGCTATAACACACCGTGCAGACTCATCTAGCATATCCTGAAAGATGTACTTTTCCCCATGCAGTGCAGAACTGTACAAAGCTAGCAATGGAATGATCAAAATGTTACGGGGTGCAAATAGATATCATGCCACAGTTTGTGTAAGTCATCACTGGATAGGTACAAACTTCCATAGACTTCTTCAAGGGCTGCAAGGACAGGTGTATTGTGTGAAATTGTTTGGTTGTCCCCATCTAGTTAGTAAGGACTGGGGAGGATACATGTCTTCATCTTCCCCACAACCATCCATATGGCACAAACCAGTGCTCTTCCTCAGTCTCACCAAAGATTGACTAGAATTGAAAATAACTATTAGACTGCTTTTTTTTATTTCTAGAACAAGGTGAAGATATTAACAGGCAAAGAGAAACTTACATTTATACCAGCAGCACTATGCCAGTTCTGTGAAAAAATAGTCATATGCAACAACATTTATTAAAGTACTTATTTTAAAAAAACTGATACCAAGCAACATACATGATACATACCTGAGTATTTTAAAAATGTATTCATAGTATGATAAAGGACAGACCGAAATGTGATAGACATTTAAAGAAAAATCTGTCAAAATAAAGAGTGAGGAGTTTACTATATTTATGGAGAGAGAATATTTTTTGAAGCTGAAACAAAAGGTGGTTTTGCAGGGATTTAAACAATACCCTGTACTGATTGTTGGAAATACAAAACAGCGACATTATCATGTATAAGGGAAGCAGAAAGTGAAAAAAGGCCAGACTGAATCCAGTGTCCAAGCTTGCTAAATACACACTGTAAACTAGTTGCATAAAATCCATATTTCTGGAGAAAAGAATAGCCTTTATGTATTACTAACACCACAGTGGATTTTTCTTACTGACAACAATCTAAAATTATTGGCTTTTCATAATTTACATGAGTATCCCTTTAACTAAAATAGACCTACATACACACATAAATGGACTACAACAGAAAATATGTGCAATTGTGACTGTGTACTTACCCCCTTCTCCTGATCCAGAACCATTATCTGATAAAGAAATAAAAGGAAAAATGTCACAACACTGTCCCAGGAATATCTATTTAAGAAACTGTCATTGCAAAAACATTATAGGATTATTACTCATCAGGAGCCAAATATAAAAACAATGTCTCCCATTATATAAGGCATCACTAGTAGAATTTATCCAGTCTGATCATATACTCTTTTCCATACCTGTCAAGGTAAATATTCTCTAAGGACAGCAATGTTTTTATGTGCTGAAAAACGCTACTTGTAGCCTGTAACTGCATCATTAAGGTTACGTCTACACTTGCTCCCTAGTTCGAGCTAGGGCTGCAAATGTAGGTGACCGAAATTGCTAATGAAGCGGGGATTTAAATATCCTGCGCTTCATTCGAGTGATCTTGCCAGCGCATTACTCTGCTCAACAGCTGATTCGAAAGTGAAAGTGCGCGCTGGGACGCATTAGTTCGAACCAAACCCCTTGGTTCAAACTAACGTTACTCCTCAAAAAACGGGATGCAGCTACAGTTTACATTTTGAGTTACCATATTAGCTGCTCATCCAATCACTTTGTGTTCCTAAAAAATGAGGAGTAACATTAGTTCGAACCAAGGGGTTTGGTTCGAACTAATGCATCCCAGTGCGCACTTTCACTTTCGAATCAGCTGTTGAGCAGAGTAATGCGCTGGCAAGATCACTCGAATGAAGCGCAGGATATTTAAATCCCCGCTTCATTAGCAATTTTGGTCGCCTACATTTGCATCCCTAGCTCGAACTAGGGAGCAAGTGTAGACGTACCCTAACAGAAGATGGTTCAATAAAAGATATCATTTCATACCTTTTTACTCTCATTTCTTTTTAAGTTATTTTTAAATTATAAAAGTGTCCAAGTTTTAACAATAATGTACAATTCAATTTTTGTATCTGTTTAACAGTGACTACATTTGACTATTAAGCACAGCCCTAGGCGAGGGATAGTATGTAAATTGCATGACTCCAGAAGTAGCCTCGTGAGTCATTGTGACTTTTGGTATGTCTTCATTGCAGAGTTCTTCCCTCAAGCTACCTACATTAGTCTGTTGTTAACTACTCCCAGATGAAGTGGCCACACTGTGAAACAACACTGGAGCTGCACAGTAACACAAAGTGATTGGATGAGCAGCTAGGGTGTGTCTAGACTACAGAGTTTTGTCGACAAAAGTGGACTTTTGTCGACAAAACTATACCTGCGTCTACACTACCGCTGAGTTCTGTCGACATAACATCGACAGAACTCAGCAGTTTTGTCGACGCTGGTAAACCTCATTTTACGAGGCATAACACCTTCTGTCGACAGAGTTTCTGTCGACAGAAGGTGTTATTGAATGTAAACTGTCCTTTGCGTCTACACTACCATGTCGACAAAGTAGCTTGCTTTGTTGACAGAACTCAATGTAGTCTAGACGCTCTTTGTCGACAGAAGTTTTGTCGAAAGTATCTGTCGACAAAACTTCTGTCAACAGAAGCCTGTAGTCTAGACGTACCCCTAATGTGCTAACTCAAAATGTAAAGCGTAGCTGCATCCCACTTCGTTATCGGCTCCTGCATCAGCAGCACTGAAGCTTCCAAGCACATCCCCAACACACCACTCAGGTTGAGTTTCAAGTCTCACTTGACTCAAGAGAAGAGATTTCTCTGTGTGGACAGGATTTGGATTATGGCCAACACCCAAGTTATACCATGAGCTGACACTACAGTGAAGACACACTGCCTTCAGACACACAGTTCTGAGGCACCAATCCTTCTCTGCTACTTCCTTACTCCTTGTGGGGAAGGGAGAGGGAAGAGGAGAGTCATTTACAGATGGCCTATACCAACAGTAAATTGACTAACTAAATCAGTCATACCAGAAGGTGAGGAGGGGAGTAGAACCACTGCACCACTCATTTTCCTCCCACTCTCTGCACACTTGTTTAGGAGATAGAAAAGGTAGGTGAGTTAGCCCTGTTTCATTCTACACACAGAGACCAAAAGGGGGGTTCTTACTTCCTTGTATGAGCTTTTAGCCCAAGACAGAACCCCTCCCAATCTTGCTCAATTCTTTTTCTAGTTTGCTATATGTATTAAGAATTTTTTTCTCCAATGCAGGAATTACAGGGTGAAAGTCTACAGCATGAGGTCGCTACCGCTCATTAAAAATAACCTCTGTCCACAGGGCCTGCTGTCAGGAGTGGAGATTTTCCGGCTATTCAACTTACATTTTCCCTTCTTAATTCCATATTATTACTCCAAGTCTCACACTGGAGTCACATTGTTTAAAAAAAACCTAATAGAATAACATAAGGAAAATGTCTGTCTGGTATTTTCTTGACATCAGTAATGACCCAATTTCTTGAAGAGCAGACAGCCCTTGTGTAATGTTTAACTGTTGCACCATTGAACAGACAATGCGACATATGGTGCAGCATTGCTTGATTAACAAATTTGAAGGTAGCATCATCTGCATACATGAGCTAACCCCGTAGGCTTCTGTGGGGTTGTGAAATTGTGTGATGAGCTGATTCTGTACCTGTGACATAAAAGCTGCTAAAATCTGTCAAATGAACAAATGTTTAAATCTGAAGAAATCAGAATTACTTCAGTTGCAATAATCCCAGCATCACAGTAGCTGCTTTTCATAATCCACACAATTATTTCAAACCCTGATTCCCCATGGCCTGCCCCTGGCTCAGAAAGCCACAAAGGCAGCAGTATTCTACAAATCTGCTGCATGCAAACAGGACAGCAAGGCTCCCTGGAAAATATTCAGACATCCACTGTACTCTCTAGGGCTTCATTGAAACCCCCATGCAAGTGTGCTTCAAGGAAGGGGAGGGGTCAGGATATAATAATTCTGCAGCCTTGTGAATACACCAGATAAGATCTCTGAGCCCTTACATGGAAACTGGGCTGTACTGACGAGAAAGATAGTTCAGCCTGGAAGCTGTGGTAGATACTCTGCTAGCATGCTGTAGTCAGGGGGAGGAAGACGCCATTCTTTGGGCAACAGCACTCCAGGACCTAAGGGCAGGTCTATACTACAAGGGGAAGATTGATCTAAGCTATGCAACTTCAGCTACGCAAATACCACAGCCGAAGTTGACACACTTAGATCTAATTAAGTCTCCGACTTACGAACCGGTTACGGACCAAGCAATTGGTCATAACTTGGTTTGTTCACAAGTCAGTCCCCATTGAATTACACGCGACCGCGCTGTTCGTAAGCGCGGATCGCATTCGTAACTCGGGGTCCGCCATTTATGACATTTTTGGTTGTAACTGCGAACGGTCGTAAGTCGACCGTTCGCAACTCAGGGACTGGCTGTACTGTGGTGTCCTTGCTGCAGTGCGTCAACAGGAGGTGCTCTCCCATCGACTGCCCTTGTGCTTCTTGCTGAGACGGAGTACCAGAGTCGATGGGAGAGTGATTGACAGTCGATTTATCATGTTTATGCTAGATGCAATAAATCGACCCCTACTGGATCCATCACTGTCTCGTCGATCCAGGCCATAGTGAAGAAATGGCCACTCTGGCCAGGTGCAGAAGAGAAATTTTGATCCTCAGATGGTGTACATTCTTTGAAATCAAATTACATCAGTTGAGGATCTGCCTCAGAGTGTTTTCATTGGCAAGTTCTCAGTTGTAGAATCACAGCTTCACTGTTTGGTCTGACAAATCCCAAATTTGCTTATCTTCAGGCTATGCTGCAGGCTCATTTATTTATGTAGGCCATTCCGGGGGAATGAGCTGAGGAAGGTGAGGTTTTCTTTTTGAACTTGTGCAGGTTGTAGACTGGGACATTTTAAGGTAAGTGTTCCATATGGGTATTGCAAATGTTACCATGCCTACCAAGTTGCAATAGGAATATTATACATTAAAATGATGGCTTCTTGGTATTTTCTGGGAAGTATCTATGCTCTAGGGCGTGTCTCAGTGTGGCTGGTCCTTGGAAACTGAGCTAAAAGCTACTCATTAGATTCTGCATCTCAGCCTCAGGAGAGGAAAACTCTTCTCCCATCTGCAGTGACTCTAAATCAGTGTAATTATGTGCCTGAGGCCTAGAGACAAACCAGATTGTCTCTTACCCTCAAGAGCTTTGAGAGAATGTTAGGGTAGATGTTTTTCCCTATGTCAGCTGAGTTTTTAATGCTCATAAGTAGGGCTCTACCAAATTCAAGTCTCTGAAAAATGCACCATGAACCATGAAATATGGTCTGCTTCTTTCAGTCTGGCTGCTGTAGACTAGAGGATGTCCAAGTATTGCCACCTTAATTCCTGCATTGCCTTCAAAGCTGAGCACCCCAGAGAGTGGCAGCTGCTGGTTATGTGCTTAACTCTGAAGGCAGCAGTGCCACCAGCAGCAGTGCAGAAGTAAAGGTGGTACACCACGACCATGACTCCCCCCTTTGGGGCAGATATCTCAAATATCTGTTAGTTGTATTAGGGTATGTCTACACTAACCCCCTAGTTCAAACTAGGGAGGCTAATGTAGGAATTCAAAGTTGCAAATGAAGCCCAGGATTTAAATATCCCGGGCTTTATTTGCATGTTCCCGTCCGGTCGTCATTTTAAATTCCACTAGTCCAAAGTATCATGAGGAGTAACAGTTAATTCAAACGAAGGACTTAGTTCAAATTGCCGTTTCACGGTCACGTGTAGCCGCGGGCAGTTACTTTGGACTAGTGGAATTTAAAAATGATGACCGAACAGGAACATGCAAATAAAGCCCGGGATATTTAAATCCTGGGCTTCATTTGCAACTTCGAATGCCTACATTAGCCTCCCTAGTTCAAACTAGGGGGCTAGTGTAGACATACTCTTAGAGCACTTGTCCACAGGAAAACTATGCTAAAGCGTGCATAGGGGTATAGTGTTCTTGTTTTTCCTAAGCAAAAGAACAGTCTTTCTTGTAAACTCAACATATTGTAATTAGCCAGTAGATGGCACCTAAAGGAAGGATCAACAGCCTAGAGCAGGGGTGGGCAACAGGGCCTCTGTGGGCCGA